ACAGATTAAGAAAATACTTATTTCACTATGATATAATAATAGATATTACCAGTACACATAGTTTTAAAAATCAATACCAATTGATATTAATAAGAATTAATTAACAGGATAATTTGGGGCGTTAACCAATTAAATATATATAAAAAGGGGAAAAAATTCAAATAAAAAATATCTGGTATCCCTGTGGTATCCAGTGGAAAATTTAAATGACTGTAATCTATGTCTTTCAAAAATGTTAATATTCTTGAAGCTAAAAATATTAAATATTTCCTCTTTTGCGGGACAATATTTTCTTGTAACATAGACTGCTATATACAAAAGTGACATTTTAATAACTTTAGGGATCCTAGTTTCAAGGTCGGGTAAGTTATCAAATGTTTGACACCCCATTTCATCCAGAAAATATCCATATTTTGAGCCACTGTGGCCTGGATCAAAGTTATATTCTTTCGCATCAACATTTAATTTAAGAAGTTTAGCTTTTTTAATATTTTGAGCTGTTATAAAAATATGCGCCTCCAGAATTATGTTTTAATTTTCCAAGTTGATTTTCTAAATAGTCTGTGGTAAATTCATCAAGCATATCAAAATTAAACCCACTACGTATCAAATATCTTCAAACATTGATAAAGTCATTGCATGGTTAAACTAATGTCTCTTGTTAATGATTTCATTCTTTTTCCTTGATATTCTCCCATTCATTTTTTTCATTTTTCCAGAATTAGAAAGAATATGGTGATCATCATCTAAATCTCATATCATTTTTTTCGGTGGATCATTTTTCTTAGTGTCACCATATATTTCTTTGACAAAGACAAATTTACAAAGTTTTACAACTTTTTCATTATGTATTATGTACACTATTTACATTATTCGGACTACTGTCTTCATCTTTGTCGCCATATTTATTACAACGTTTCGACCGTTGTACGCTCCGGCTTTCTTCTTCATGTGGTTGGAATGTCGAACTGAAATCTTTATTTCGCTCACTGGGTAGACTGTTCTAGTTCCACGTGTCTGTGCCATGTGCCCTCAAGGACACATGGCACAGTAGATAAAGGCGTTAGTTAGATCCAGTAACAGGACCCAAAGAGTTGGGAGTTCAATACCTGGTTAAGGCAGTGGAGAACTTGGAGAGAGGAATTAACAGGAGATAACTGATAACTGACATCCATTAGATATGGCACATGGAGCTAAAACAGTCTACCCCAGTGAACGAAATAAAGGGTTCAGTTCGACATTCCAACCAACTGAAGAAGGTCGAAGCGTACAACGGCCGAAACGTTTTACAATAAAATTAACAGTTTCTGCAGTATCCTCACCATTTAATAATGGGTGTGTTTTAATGACAGTTACAGTTTGATCACAAAACTTTTAAACAATCGGAAATATTTTGTCGCTCAACAGGTTTTGGATAAACTGATACATCAGGTAGTTTTGACAACTTAACAAATTAAGGTTTTTTATATTCAAAAAGACCTTTTAAAATTTCCCATTTTGCTGTCATCTGTTTGCCTTCAGAATAAACAGTAATTCAAAAGTAGGTTCAATAATTCAGTTATTCCGAATATTTTTTAAAAGGTGGACATAATCAAAAAGTACGTACAAGTAACTTTTAATTATCCAAAATCTAATGTTTAGAAAAAAAGATTGATGGGTTTTGTTATTGTCAAATACAATTCCAATTACTTGAGCGTTTGATCGCATCAAAAATATATAAAATCTTTCATGAATATTTTTTAGAAACTACAATCATTTTGCACATTTCGCACAGAAGCATACGTTTTATTTGTTGGTTTTGGTTGAGGATTATGTAACTTATGGCAAATGATCAAACATTGATGCCCTGGGTTACACTTTTGTAAGTTTCATAATTAGATGCAAAATGCCTTTCACAAACAACAGTATTTTGTTTGTCAGGGGTGTTGTCTCGAGGTATTATCATCGCTCTTGCTTATTCTGATCTTGTGGAAGACAAAATACACAAATCTTATTTTGTTAATTATTCTTATCACAGCAACCTGTTACACAGAACTTGGCCATTTTGAAAAAAAGATTTTGGGATACTAAAATTAAAAAATATTATCTAAACTATTGTTTTGTAAAAATTACAATTTTATTACAACATGGTGCTTCTAAAAAGTTTATGAACCTTAAGGTCTAGACAGGAGAGTTTAGTTTTCAGAAAATAGGAAATTAAAGTTTGTACGAATGTAGGAATTTGACATCTTTATCTGTATGTTACTTTCCGTCGTCTTTAAGGAATTTCCTGGATTCCAAAGGATTTCCAAATTGTTTCACTGATCAAGATCCGTTTTATGTTGAAGTTACATAGCGAACTAAAACTAATTTTTTTTTGGGGGGGTGCGTTTCGATCATTTCCTCCCCCATAAAATATGATTATCTAAACAAAATTAACCAGTTTAATATTTTTATAGTATATTTAAAAAAAAATATTAAACTGGTTAATTTTGTTTTATATATTCGAGAAATCTTAACAAAATCTGCTTTCTGACAAGGTGACGCTCTTCATAGCAGAGTAGTACAGCACATCGGATCAAACTATGGTTTCTCCTACAAATAGAGGGAGAAGGTTCAATCCCTGTTGGACAGCACAAACCTATAGACATAATATACACTATTTAAAAACAATAATAAAATGGGGCGTCTATTTCAAATACGTGTATCCAATATAATAACGTTTGAAGTAATGAAAAAATGTCGGACTAAAAATAAATCCATCAATTCTTTAGAAATTGCTTTGTTTACGTTTCGGATACAACACTGAGCAGTTATGGGCTTTCGAGTAAAATA